TCCTTTTTTTGGTACTGGAAATCGAACTTGGGACCTTTTGTTTGTGAGCCAGGTGCCAGAACCACTGAGCTAAATCCCCGGCCCCAGTTTGTCATTTTCTAATACTGTTTTTGTTTTTGAGAGTGTCATTAAATTTTATGAATTTATAGTATTGGAAGAAAAACAGAGTCTGAATTTATGAACTGATAGTGTCTTTAAGACTCTTAGGACTTTATGAGTGAGGAGCCCAGAAGGAAAACAGGCGAGGGGATAAAAGGTGTTGTGACTTCAAGTGACTTTGATTACACCTTGAAGCTGTGGTTTTCTCAAAGCTAGAGCTGCCTCCAAACTCATTTCTGTGGGGTATGGTGGTGAATCTCTGTAATCCTAGCACTTGGAAGGCTGAGGCAGGAGGATTGCCAGATGTTCAAGGCCAGCCTGGGCTACATAGGGAGACCCTGTCTCAAACAAAATAAATTCATTTTGTCAAATTACAATCTCCTTGTCACCTTTCTACCTAGTCTGGTTTCTCCTGTCCTACCTGAGGGCAGTGTTTGGAAGGCAAGATGTTGCTTGTGGCTGTGGGCCCCCAGCGTGCACCACCCTGGGGGCCTCAATGCCAGACTCTGCTCTACTTGGTGAAGGTGAGCAGCCCACCAGGGCTTCCTCCAAACCACAGCTGCCCACTGGTGGCCTGCAGACCTGTTATATGCCACAAAAGATGTTCTCACCTCCAAATTGGAAACTTTCAGTTTTGAAGTCTGGATTTCTAGTTTTTCACAGATTTCTGTTTCCACAGATACATCCCACCCAGCCTCGAGGGGTCGGCGCTGAGAAGCACCCCCGGGTCCCTTTCCCCTCTAACACTGGGATTTAGCTCAGTGGTTTCACCACCTGCTGCGCAAGTGCAAGGACCTGAGTTCGATCCCTGGTACCCCCCCAAAAAAAAAAATTTTGACATTTAGAATTGAACCTAGGGGCTCATACATGCTAAGCACATGCTCAACACTGAGCTATACCAGCTGACCCTTCTTTAAAACAACTCAGATTCCATCTTACTCCACAAAGAATGGCCATCATCAAGAAATCTAATCACAAATCCTGGAGAGGCTTCGGGGAAAAAGAAAGCCCTCTAGACTGTTGGTAGGAATGTAAACTGGTACAACCACTATGGAAATCAGTACAGGTATTCATCAAAAAGCTAAAAATAGAAATTCCATTCTACTCAGCTATTCCTCCTTTGGGTATTTTCCCAAAAAAGTTAGAGACATCGTGATACATACCCACTCATGTTTACAGCAGCACAATTCATAATAGCTAAATCTTGGAAGTGGCCTATATGTCCATCAACAGATGAGTGTATAAAGAAAATGTTTTACACACAAGGGAGAAGAACTTTGCCATGAAGAAGGATGTGAGTCATTTGTAGGAAAATGGATGAACCTTGGACCATAATGTTGTGAAATAAATCAGACACACAAGCTTAAATATCGCATGGTTTCTCTTATACGAGAAACCCAAAGTATAAATAATGTAAAGAGCAAAATAAAAGATAAGTGATAGGAAACAAGGAAGTAGATCTTTTCCAAATGGGAAGCAATCTAGGGATGGAGGAAGGGGAGTGAATTGTGATATGTTATATACTTAGCAGCAAATTCCCACAGCAAATGTGGTCATGTCCTGCAAACGTGCATTAATTGTCTAAAGCTGTAAAAATGTTTGACACAGAAGAACTGCACATATGTGGAGTACGGTGTGATAACCCCGTATGTGTGTACAATTACACGCCTGTAATCCCAGCACTCACTCGGGAGGCTGAGGCAGGAAGCCAGCCTTGGGCTCCATAGTTGAAGGGCAAACTCAGATACAGAGAGACCCCGTCTCAAAAAAAGTCTAATACAAGAGCTCCAGAATAGCATTTACCTGGATTCACCAGTTAACATTTTGCCACATTTGTGATATCCATGCTCTTTTTCAGTGCTGGGATTGAATGCAGGGCCTTGCACACCCTAAACGTGGTTCACCGAGCTACACACCAGCCTTACACATTTTCTTGTCACTTGGGAATCGGTTACAAAGCTCATGCTCCTCTGGCCCACACTTCAGTGGATATTTGCTAAGAATATATACTTACACATACATGATGGCTAGCACATGTTTAGCAAGTTTATCGTGAACCCTGTTTATTGTTTATTTAGGGGTACTGGGGATTAAACCCCAGCCTTCCTTTGCACTGAGCTGTAGCCCCAGCCACCCCAACCCTTTGAGGCAAGGACTTGCTAAATTGCCCACGCTGGGCTTCAATTCAGGTCCTCCTGCCTCAGTGTCCCAGAATTCTGGGATTACAGGCATGCACAACCATGCCAAGCTAATGCTTTATATCCCTTTTCATTAGCATGTTTTCGGTGCAGTTTCCATTCCTTCTGTGGCACTGGTACATGTACCTAACAGATCTGAATTCTTTTTCATGCCCTTTCCCTCCCCTCCATCTCTTGAACCCCTTTTGAGAAAGATCTTTTATTTTGCTCTTTATTTATAATTTGGGTTTCTCATATAAGAGAAACCATGTACTATTAAAGCTTGCCACATGCCTACAGTCCCATCACTTGAGAGGCTGAGGAAGGAGGATCACTGAGTTCAAGGCCAGCCTGAACTATATACCCAGATCCTGTCTCAAAAAATGCCCCCCAAAATATGTATTTACACACAATGTACACATATGTGGAAAAATTGATGTACCTTAAGACCATAAGTAACATAAATCAGATACACAAGCTTTTTTCTTTTTTGCATTTTTTGAGTCAGAGTCTGGCTATGTAGTTTAGGCTGGCCTTGAACTATGTAGCCCAGGCTGGCCTCGAATGTGCCGCAATCCTCTCGCCTCAGCCTCCCAAGTGCTGGGATCTCAGGCGCATACCACCACACCCAGTCACATTCTTTTTATCCATTTACCTGTTGATGGACACACAGGCTGCTTCCAAGATTTAGCTACTATGCATTGTGCAGCTATAAACACAGGTGTGCATGGATCACTGTAATATGATAACTTTAACTCTTTCAGGAAGATACCTAGAAGGGGAACACCTGGGTAAAATGGAATTTCTTTTTATGCCATGTAAAACCTGAAGGCATTAAAATTTATTAAATGATGCAATAACAACAGAATTCTTTATTTACAATAGCGTTGACATCAAATAATAGCATCAGCAAAGCAATATTAACTTGCATAAATGTATTTAAAATTTCTCTGAATATATCTTTTGCATAGACTGCTCACACTAGAAATACAAACATCAATGCAGATGCACAAAGCGATGTTGAGTCAACTGGTTTTCTTTTGGTTTTGGGGTACTGGGGGTCAAACTTGGTACCTTGCGCTTGCATGGCAGGCGCAGGAACCAGAGCTAAATCCCCAGCCCCCGAGTCAACTGTTTTTGAAAATAAATCACACCCTGAAACACTGTAAGCTTTCTCCTGAAGAACCATAGTTTATATATTGCTTTATTTTACCCTTGTATAAATGGAGTTTGTAGTTTTAGTCTTGAGGACTCTCCGTGTTCCTTTCCATGTTGGCTGTACTAGTTTACATTCCCCCCAACAGTGCAGAGGTTCCTTTGTCCCCCACAGCCTTGCCAGCATTTGTTACTATTTGATATCTTGATGATAACCATTCTTTCTGGAGTAAGATGGGATCTCAGTGTTGTTTTAATTTGCATTTCTCTAATGGCCAGTGATGTTGAGTACATGTACTAATATTCGTTCATTTCTTCATGCATTTGTTGGCCATTTGTACTTTCTATATATTTGGGGGGGTGTTTTGAGATAGGGTCTATGTAGTTCAGGCTGGCCTTGAACTCAAAGTGATCCTCCTGCCTCAGCCTCTTAAATGCTGGGATTACAGGTGTGGGCCACCAGCCGAGCTATACTTTATATTCTTAGTTCATCAATTTTCTTCATAGTGTCTTTTCCAGCAAGTTTTTCCTGGTATAGAATCTTAGTTTGCATGAAGTATTTCTTTTAGTTTTTAGTCACTTTAGCCTCCTTTAACCTGGAGCCATTCCAGAAACTTTTTGTCTCAACTTTTGTGTTTTTTTTGGTACTGGGGATCGAACTTGGGACCTTATGCTTTCGAGGCAGGCGGCAGAACCACTGTGCTAAATCCCCGGCCCTGTCTGAACTTTCTTTTTGCTGTGTCAGGGACTGAACCCAGGACCTTCTGTCTCCTAGCTTTGCGTATTACCACTGAGCTACATCCCCAGCCGTTTTTCTTAATTATGATGCGTGTATGTCTATTAACCGTATGGACATATACACTGTTTTGTTTTTGGTAGATCAAACTTGGAACCTTGTGTTTGAGATGGACACATACACTGTTTTTATTCAATGAGTTGTCTAGGAACATACTCTCCATTGGGATCTTCCTGCTTCAGCCTCCCAGAGGGAGGGGATTACACCACGTCCTGGTTTGGAGCTAATCACTTTAATACTCAGCAAGAGGATAACGAGGATAAGGTGGACAACAGCACCTTTGGAACCCTGCCGCTTAAGAGAAGCCATTAGGGTTCACCAGCCTGGGGATTTTTTTCATCCAAGGCTCCGCCCATGGGTCGCCAAGTGGCGGAAGAATCTCACGCTGTGACGTGAAAATCGCACGCTGCGCGGAGGCGTCCGACGTTAATCAGGAGGGGTGGGTGGGCGGGGCCGCCGGCTCTTCCTCTCCGCTCGTTGGGCTCCGCCCCCAGCGCTTCTCACGCTCATTGTGAGGGGACCGCAGCCGCCAGCTTCAAGGCGGTTTGAGAGCTAGAGCCCTAAGTCCTTGGCGCGCGTGAGCGCCTCCGCTGCTCCTTACCTGCTCCAAGGGCTGGGAGTGCGAGCTTCACCTATTTTAGGTCCTCTCTAGCTCGGCACCAACCGCCCGGCGCGGCACCTCACGGCGCTCTCCCTTCCCCCCCGCGGGGCCCCGCCCGCGCTCCTCCCTCCCGTTCCCGGCGCCGCGCACGCGCAGGCCGGCCCGCGCGCCCTCGCTCTCCTCCGCGGACCCCCTCCCCTTCCGCCTCGCGGCGCAGCCTCGCGCCCGGTCTGCTCGGTCCACCCCCGACCCGCGGGGCTCCCCCGCCCGCCAACGGCGGGTCCTCGCCTCCCGATCCCCTCGCTCCCCGCGCTCTCCTCCGGGGGCCCAACCCCGGCCCCCGCGCTCTCCCATCCTAATTCCCCTTCCGGACGCTGCCGTCATGTTGAAGCCTCAGCCGCCACAACAGACCTCCCAGTCCCAGCAGCCGCCCCCCGCGCAACAGGCCGTGGCCCGCCGGCCTCCCGGCGGCACCAGTCCTCCCAACGGCGGCCTCCTGGGGCCGCTGGCCACCGCCGCCGCTCCCGCAGGCCCTCCCGCGGCTGCCTCGCCCTGCCTGGGGCCCGCAGCCGCTGCTGGAAGCGGGCTCCGTCGCGGAGCCGAAGGCGTCTTGGCGCCGCCGCCGCCGCATCAGGAGAGGCCGGGGGCGGCCGCCGTCGGCAGTGCCAGGTACAGCGGGGTGGGCTTCCGGGCGGGGGCCGGGCTCGGTTCCGGGGTGCGGAGCCGCGGGAGGCCGGGGTGGGTCCCTGCAGGCCGGAGGGCGCAGCCCGGGCGGCCCCGGGGCACTGGGGACCAGGCTCGGCTCCCGGGGCCTAGCGAGGGCTCCGGCCGGGCCTGAGGGGAGGCGGGGCGCGTTCTGCCGGTGCCGTCGGAACGGGGAGGTGGGGGGGCGAGGAGGTGATTGGGGTCCCGGGCTCCATTACCGCGGAGGGTCTCGCGGTCCCCAGCTTCAGCCAATGGGGAGTCAGCCGCCGGAAGGGGTCCCCGGCCGTAGCCAATGGAGGGGGGCGCACGGCCCGCAGTCTGGCCAATGGGGAGGGAGGGACTTGGGAGCGGGCCGCTCCCTCCCTCTTCCCGGCCTGGCCAGTAGGAGGGGAGCAGGCCGGGCGGGGGCGCGGAAGGAGGCTCGGCCGGCGGGCTGGGGCCCGAGCCTCGGCCGCGCGCGCTCCCCTGACGTGCGCGCGGGTGCCGCGTCTCATGACCCGGGCGTTCGCGGGCCTTGGTAACTCGTAGGGCAGGGACTGCGTGTGTGCACTGGGGGTTTCTTGTAGTGTCAGTCGGTGAGTAGCGGACGCCGCTCGGTTCCTTCTGCGTGTGTCTGTGAACATGCGATGGGAGAGTGGCGGCATACGCAGGCGCAGTGGGTTCTGCTCGTAGGCAGGGGCATTTGAAGAGGCCCTTGGGCTTTAGGGCGCAGGCGCAGACCGGGCGAGGCCTCCCGGTGGATGGTTTTTGCGGCTGCGCTGTGCCTCGGCCCCATCAGCGGCCCCCTCTTCGCCCTCTTCTACCGCCGGTTACATCAGCCATCGAGGAGCGGTGTTACCTGGCTATTGGTGACCCCTGCAGAGTGGGTAATAGGCTGAATGAGTGATGGGGGGATAGGGTGGCGATGGAGGAATACCCCTCCTCCCAGGTTTCGAGCGTAAGGCGACTGAAAATGATTTTACCGCTTGGGAGGTTATGTGCCTGAGCTACTAAGTAGTTCTGCACCTGTGCTCCCCGAGCGTTCACCTTCACATCTAGGGTGAGTGTGGGTTACTGAATGCTGCAGCATTAGTGTGTTGGAAGCATGCCTCTCTGACCCTTGGAGAAAGTGACAACGTGTGGTGCGTTAGAGCAATTGACAGCCATTGTTAACTGCATTCTCCTATATTGGCATTTAGAGGGAACGTGTTTTTTAGCATTTATTGTCTGCTCGTTTTTTCTCTAAGGTGAGAATTTGAAAAATCTTGATGAATTGACTTGTAACCTAAATCAGCAGCTTCACTTCATAAGTGGTTCTAGGATTTACTGTTAACTTCTTTCCTTCTTTTGCAGGGGACAGAGCACAGGAAAGGGACCCCCACAGTCACCTGTGAGTGCCTTTGTTCTTCCATAAGATACATAGTCCTAAAAAATACAAGAGAATGTAGGGCTGGTTAGTTGCAGAGATAGATGGGTTCAGAAAGGCCAGGGGCCCTGACACAAATGAGATATGAGGGCAGTGTGGCCATTTAGAAAAAGGTGTTTACTGGCCGTGTCTTTATTTCTCCCTGTGTGTCACAGGTGTTCGAAGGTGTCTATAACAATTCCAGGATGCTGCATTTCTTGACAGCTGTTGTGGTAAGTGAACACTTAACCCTAGGTTGTTTGAGAAATGCAGTATATCAGTTTTCTGGAGTCAATCCTCTTCTTTTTCCCACTGTCCCTAGGGTTCCACTTGTGATGTGAAGGTTAAAAATGGTACCACTTATGAAGGCATTTTCAAAACCTTGAGCTCAAAGGTCAGTGTAATCACATAAGCTCATTTTTGGAGCTACATGGAAGGAGGTGGAGGAGAATGAAATTTAGGTGTATTGGGTGGTATTAGACAATACTGTTAATTGTTTCGGTAGGGTGTATTTTGTTTTTTTGAGACAGGGTCTTGGTATGTAGTTCAGGCTGGCCTTGAACTCACTGTTAGCTTAGGCTGGTTGTTTTTTTTTTTTTGTACCGGGGATTGAACTTGGGTCCTTGGGCTTGCACAGCAAGTGGCAAAACCACTGAGCTAAATCCCTGACCATAGCTTAGGCTGGTCTTGAACTCTCAACAATCCTCCAAGTGCTGAGATTACAAGTGTGTACTGCCATTCCTGGCAGGCCTTCAGTTTAAGTTTTTTAATATTATAATTTTATGTTTGAGACTTGTTAAGTTGTATGACTGGTATTGAAAAGACAAGGCATATGAAAAATGTATTGGGGAAATTTTAGAAAGAGAAATGGACCTGTTTTTGTCTTCATGTTTCTTGATACTAATCAAGACTTTTGGGGGTGGGACTTTTGTAGTTTGAACTAGCAGTAGATGCTGTGCACAGGAAAGCATCTGAGCCGGCCGGTGGCCCTCGTCGGGAAGATATTGTGGATACCATGGTGTTTAAACCAAGTGATGTGATGCTTGTCCACTTCCGAAACGTTGACTTCAATTATGCTACTAAAGGTATTGTCAGACTATTGTGTCAGACTCAGTCGGTGTGAAGAGAGGGAGGTTTGTGTGCAGTTAGAACGTGTTGACTTGTTTGGTTTTTTCCTTTACTGTTTTCCCCTTTGGGAGGGAGGTGGCTGAGTGTTTCTTTTTGAAAATGTAGTAGTGAATTGAGTTCCAGCATATTTTCCCTGGTCAGCTTGTGGCAGTTGTGCCCCTTTTCCAACCCCTACCCTGAAACTCAGCATACATACTCTTGATAAGCTTTGGCCTCTTAGGGTTCCTTGTTCCTGAATTACTGTGGGGGTGCGAGTAAGACAGGGGAAAGGAAGCATTGAAAATCACCTCAGTCCTTACGTTGCATCTGTCCTACAGACAAGTTCACTGACTCTGCCATTGCCATGAACTCGAAGGTGAATGGGGAGCACAAAGAGAAGGTGCTTCAGCGCTGGGAAGGTGGTGACAGCAACAGTGATGACTACGACCTGGAGTCTGACATGGTACAGCCTCCTTCCCTCAGAGCCGCGCAGCAGAACATGGCTTGTTGGCAGGGAGCCCCCTTCTGGGAACCAAGTTAATTCTTGGAAAGAGTGGAGGAAAATATTGACAGTTGAAAGTGTGATCGGGCTTGTTTATGTTATAGGCTCATTTCCCTTCAAAAAGCAAACCTTGGGGCCAGGGATTTAGCTTAGTGGTTCCAGCGCCTCCCTCGCAAGCACAGGGTCCCAAGTTTGATCCCCAGTACCAAAAAAAAAAAAAAAAACCCCCCCCAAAAAATCAAACAAAAAGCAAACTTTAATGCATTTAAAATCTCCCAAATGAATGAGTTTTGTTCTGTGTTTTTAAGTTGAACAAGAATCTGCTTTCTTGCCTCTTGAAACTTCATTTTGACACAAAGGTTTATTTTATTACTTTAACCACATATATCCACATATATAGACCCCCAGGTGCATTTCCCTTTTCCTTGGTAATCTGCTTTGTTGCCATTATCTTTTTACTAAAAATAGTGCCTTTTTAGGCAGGCATGGTAGGGTAGTAGTACATGTCTGTAATTCCAGCTGTCTTGAAGGTTGAGGCAGGAGGGTTACAAATTTGAGCCTAGCCTGGGGAACTTATCGACTTAGTGAGATCCTCTTTCAAAAATGAAAGTTAAATGAAAAGAAAATTGCAGGTGTAGCTCACTAAAGGCTCTAGTGGTTCAGTCTGTAATACTGCAAAAAAAAAAACCCAAAACCTTCTTGCCCCTTACAACACATAACCCCATATGTATGTGCTAGAATTTTCTAGATTATAAACCTGGAAATGAATTTTTTAGCTCTTAGAACTTCTTAGTTTTATTAATTACTCCCAGTTTATGCTGTGTATTGCCAGTAGAAGTTGATAACTATCACCAGTCATGTTTTGTTCTACTCTAGGTTTGGTCATTTCAATTTTTTAGCCTGGTGGGAGGAAAGTGATAGGTTTTAAACATTCTCCTTCCTTTTTTCTTAGTCCAATGGATGGGATCCCAATGAAATGTTCAAGTTCAATGAGGAGAACTATGGCGTGAAGACGACCTATGATAGTAGTCTCTCTTCTTACACGTGAGTAGCTTGTTGCTTCCCGGTAGTGCGGTGCAGGGTGTGAGGTCACCAGCAGAAGGCAGATCTCTAGGTGGAACATGGCTTTTGTGTGTGCTTTTCTGGGTATCCAGACAGCCCTTCCCTTAACTCCTGACCTGCCTTGTGAAGGACTCCTCCAAGGTTTTCTGATTCTGGGCCATCCTGTGGAGATGAAGTAGCTGCTTTCTTGTCCATCGACCCATACCTTCCCTTTAGGATTTGCAGTATATAAGCGTCTGTGTCCTTCAGATTCAGAATCTGCCTCGGAGCTCTGCCTAGGACCCAATAGATGGCCAATACATGTGCTGTTTGGGCTAGGGACATGGCTCCCTTGTAGAGCACTTGCCCAGCATGTTTGAGGCACTGGGTTCAGTCCTCAGTACCATGCTGAGTTACTGATGGGATTAAGCAGCCCTGTGTGCTTGAGCTGGTCATAGGACTGATAGAAATGTTCCTTTTTCTCTTCTGTCCTCTGGCATTGGAATGATAGTGGTCTCTGGTTGTTCTCTCTCAGGGTGCCCTTAGAAAAAGACAACTCTGAAGAGTTCCGCCAGCGGGAGCTGCGTGCAGCCCAGTTGGCTCGAGAGATCGAGTCTAGCCCCCAGTACCGCCTGAGGATTGCCATGGAAAATGACGACGGACGCACGGAGGAGGAGAAGCACAGCGCAGTGCAGCGGCAGGGCTCGGGGCGGGAGAGCCCTAGCCTGGTGGCAAGGTAATTGCTAGGGCAGCCAGCACTAGCTGGGCTCATGGTAATGGCCTCACCCTGGGCCCAGAGCCTCGTACAGTGTTACTAAACCTCACCACCTTGTTAAGGTGTAGGCAGAGACTTAGTTCCCAATGTTTAAGTTTGAAAGAGTGAAACCTAATGAAAATAAGTAATGTGCTTATGGGTTGAGGAAGGAAAAATTTTTTTTTAGGATTTTAGTATACTTTCTTTGCCTATTTATAAGTAGATGCTATTTGTTTTTTGTTTTGTTTTGAGACAAGGTCTCACTGTGTGGTTTAGACTGGCCTTGAATTTAAGGTGATCCTCCTGCGCCCGCCTCCCAAGTGCTAGGATTACAGGCATGTGCCACCATGCCCTGGCATTGTTTTTTGTTTTTACAAAACAAATCAACCTGTATGTGATACACATCTTGTGAAAGCTCCCCCGTGAACCCTTCTCATAGGTCAGGAGTGGCAGGGTTGTAAAACACTGGCCAAGTTGGCTAAGTCTGTTCACAGAATATAAGGTCCTAAGCTGTAGCCACAGCTACTTAACTGGAGCAGATCTTTGAGTGGGACAGCAAAGGGAGCTGGAGCCAGGTGTCAGAGAAGAAGGGGAGGGAATTCTGAAAGAAAGGATTCATGTTGCCAGAATGTGTGGGCTTGTGGCTGCCTGTCCTAACTTGAACTCCTTCCCCAGGGAGGGCAAGTATATCCCTCTGCCTCAACGTGTGCGAGAAGGTCCCCGAGGAGGAGTCCGATGCAGCAGTTCTCGGGGTGGCCGGCCTGGCCTGAGCTCTTTGCCCCCTCGTGGTCCTCACCATCTTGACAGTAGCAGCCCTGGCCCGGGTTCTGAGGCACGTGGTGTCAATGGAGGTGAGTGAAGGAGCACATAGGTAGAGAAGGGGCATAAGGCAGGTGGGAGGGCCCACGGAAAGGGCTTACACAGGTTGGAAGGATGATGCATTGGTGGTGATATAATAGCAAATGCTTTGTCTCTTCTTTTTCTTCATCTTTAAAAAAAAAAATAGGCCCTTCCCGCATGTCCCCCAAAGCACAGCGGCCCCTGAGAGGTGCCAAGACTCTGTCTTCGCCCAGCAGTAGGCCTTCTGGAGAAACTTCTGTTCCACCTCCTCCTGCAGGTGAAGCTTCAGTAGACGCGGGTGAAGAAATGGGTAGAAAGCTGTACAGGGAGGTAAATTGTGTGAGTTGTTGGAATGCTAGGATGGAGGACAGGTTGAAGATGTTTCAGGGGCTTGGGATTTAGATTTATCCTTTTTGAGAAAAAATTTTGTTTCCTATTGCAGAAATCCTAACCTGGCAATGCATAAGTTGGTCTGATTGGCAGACAACTTTTGTTCAGATTTGAATTTATTCTAACATTTTAAAACAGACATCATAGAACATGTTTTTGGTGTACAGGAAGTTGTGCCACGACAGCCTGCCTTAGTGCATAGTTCTAGTTGGCTGGCCCAGAATTAGAATTACCCTTTAAGCATTCTAGGCTTTCATGGTGCCCATGAGGCCATTTTCCTGCGTGTGTTACCTGCCTTGGTCCTGTAGACCTTTACACCTATGATCCTGGGAATAATGTGTACACATTCTCTGGATTTTTAGAAGTCCCCTGTACTGGCCTGAGGAGGTAGCTCAGTGGTGCCACGCCTGCCGGGCGAGCACGAGGTCCTGAGTTCGATCGTGGATGCCAAAGGAAAAAAAAAAGTTCCCTGTACTTGCTTAATGACCAGCAGTACCCATTGTTCAGCTCTCCCTTTTCTTCCAGTGGGCCGGATGTACCCTCCACGCTCTCCCAAGTCCGCTGCACCTGCCCCCCTCTCTGCTTCCTGTCCTGAGCCTCCCATGGGTTCGGCAGTGGCAGCCTCTTCAGCCTCCATACCTGTGACATCATCAGTCACAGATCCGGGAGTAGGCTCCATTTCCCCAGCTTCTCCAAAGATCTCACTGACTCCCACAGATGGTAAGAGCTGGGCAGTTGAGGGCTGTGGACAATCTGAAGTGTGGTTCTGGGCAGGAGGACCTTCAGGCATCTCTTTCTCTCCTTGCTCAGTAAAAGAACTCCCTACTAAGGAACCTGGCAGAACTCTGGAGTCCCAGGAGCTGGCCCGGATAGCTGGGAAAGGTGAGGGTTGTAGTTTTTGGGGTTTGGTAGGTTTTTTTAAAAATGTTTTTTTGTGTCTTTTGTGTGTGTGCTAGGGATGGAACCCAGTTCTTGCATGTGCCAGGCAAGCACTCTGCCACTGAGCTCCGTCACAGCCTGGGGTGTTTGGTTTGCCAATATCTAGTGCCCTTTTATTTGGGAGAACATTTGGACGAGCCAGTTTGCTAGGACTCAGAAGCAGTTTCTGTCAACCCTTTGATCTGAATCTCACTTCCAGGATTCTCAAGAGTGGCTCGTTTTTCTGGGTTTCTTTTGATGGTTTGGTTTTGATTTTTGAGGCGGTATCTCACTACATAGTTCAGGCTGGCCTTGAACTCACTGTGTAGTCCACGGTGGCCTTGAGCTTGTGATTCTCCTACCTCAACTTCTTTTGTTTTTGTTTTTGTTTTTTTGGTACTGGGGATCGAACTGGGGTCCTTGCGTTTGCAAGGGAGGCGGCAGAACCACAGAGCTAAATCCCTGGCCCTACCTCAGCTTCTGTGTGTGTTGGGGATTTTTTTGGTACCAGGAATCGAACTCGGGATCTTGCGCTTTTGAGGCAGGCGCTGGAACCACTGAGCTAAATCCCCGGCCCTTACCTCAGCTTGTTTTAAGTGTGCACCACGCCTAGGTTTCTTTTTTGGTACTAGGGATCGAACTCGGGACCTTGCGTTTGTGGAACAGGTGTGGCACCACTGAGCTACATCCCGGCCCTTCCCTGGGTTTCTTGACCTCTGGACTACTAGCACTGTGTAAACAGCCTGTGCAAAAGAAGCATATTATATTTTCTTTTCTTTTTTTTGGTACCGGGGATCGAACTTGGGTCCTTGCCCTTCCTCAGCAGGCAGCAAAACCACTGAGGTAAATCCTCGGCCACATATTATATTTTCTCTCTTTTTTCCACTGTTTTCTCATAGTCCCTGGCCTTCAGAATGAACAGAAAAGATTTCATCTGGAAGAACTGAGAAAGTTTGGGTCCCAGTTTAAGGTGAGCATAGTGGAGATACCCAGGATGATTGTAGGATATGATGGGCTTTTGTGGTGAATCGATAAAACAGTCAGAGGGCCAAGTGGGTAGAAGATCCGAGCTCAAGCAAGGATGATGGGAGGCAGGGCCTGGGGTCTGGTGCAGACAGGACTGTGTGTGTATCTCTCCTTCCAGCTTCAGCCCAGTAGCTCCCCTGAGACCAGCATGGATCCTTTCCCTCCCCGGATCTTAAAGGAAGAAGCCAAAGGGAAGGAGAAGGAGGACGCACTATTGACTTCAGAGCCCATGGGGTCCCCAGTGTCCTCCAAGACAGAGTCCGTATCAGAGAAGGAGGACAAAGCTCCCCTGGCACCATCAGGAGCCACTGAGGGCCAAGAGCAGCCCCTGCCTCCTTGCCCAAGCCAAACTGGCAGCCCTCCAGTGGGCCTCAAGGGGGACGACAAAGACGAGGGTCCTGTTGCTGAGTAAGTTGGGCTGGCAGCTGGGTGGTGTCTGGTGATAAGGGGCAGGCTGTGAGGACTGACTTCATCTTCTTTACAGACAAGTAAAGAAGTCGACGTTGAACCCCAATGCAAAGGAGTTCAATCCCACAAAGCCTCTGCTGTCTGTGGTGAGATGGCCGGGAGAGTGTGGACTTGGGGTTTGGGGAGGGGCACTAGTGCAGCTGAGGGGAAGCGGCTTGGTGCCAGTTTGGCTTGTGTGGAAGTCCAAGGAGATGCTGCCCAAGAGCAGGGGTAGTGGCACTCGGCCTGGTTTGGGGGTAAGGAGACATGTCTCCGGGTCGCCTGGTGGGGCTCACAGGTGCTTCTCAACATTTGCACAGGGGTGTTTGAGCGAGGTGGTCAGGAGATGTATTCATTTGGGCCCACTGACATGGCTGCTGCTTGTCAGCATTTGGCACGTGCTTACAGGGTTTGTGGTTCTTGGGCAAGCCCCGTAGCCTCTTAATCTCTTGCTATCTCCTGAGCTGTAATTGGAGATTGCCCACCTCAGCATTTGATAGGAGGCTTAATGAGAAAAAATACAGGATGAACAGTTGTGCTTGGGCACTCAGCTACTCTGAAACTCATTGAATTTGGTTTTGGCATGAAAACTGTCCCAGTATTCATCATTTGTTTGGGACTTGGTACACAAACTAGGATTTGTGGCTGTCGATTGCTGTGTGAGTGACTTGGTGCTCACCCTGGCCTCCCGGAACTGGAGCACACAGCACCCATGAACGCCAGCTGCTGGGTCAGGATGGGCCCGACACACATGGAATGAAATGCCATCTTCCTTCATCTTTTGCAGAACAAATCTACCAGTACCCCAACTTCTCCAGGGCCCCGGACTCATTCAACTCCTTCCATCCCGGTGCTGACAGCAGGCCAGAGCGGGCTCTACAGCCCCCAGTACATCTCCTACATACCTCAGATCCACATGGGACCAGCTGTGCAGGTGGGGAGGAGACGAGGCTAGGGACAAGTCTAAGGGGCCAGGTCAGGCCTTCTTCTTTTTCAGTTCTTTTTGTTTGTCTTTTAGTACATTTGCAAATGATTACATTCCTCATGGGACGTTGGTACAAAAGGTCCATTTCTGTTTCCCACCATCTTTTCTTCCATTTTGCTCTTAAGTTATATTTTGGGTTTCTCATATAAAAGAAACCATGTGGGACTGGGGATTTAGCTCAGTGGTTTCGCCACCTGCCTTGCAAGTGCAAGGTCCCGAGTTTGATCCCTGGTACCAAAAAAAAAACCAGAAACCATGCAATATTTAAGCTTGTGTGTCTGATTTATTTTCACTTAACATTGTGGTTAGTCTCGGAGTTCATTCTTTTTTTTTTTTCCTCCTACAGATTACTCATTTTGTCTTTATGGCAGAGTAGTACTCTGTTATATAAAAAATACATTTTCTTTTTTTTTTTCGGTACCGGGGATCGAACTTGGGACCTTGCGCTTGTGAGGCAGGCACCAGAACCACGGAACTAAATCCCTGGCCCAAAAATACATTTTCTTTGGCTGGGGATTTAGCTCACTGGCACTGTGCCTGCCTCAAAAACGCAAGGTCCTGAGTCAAATATCCAGTACCAAAAAAATTTTTTTTTCTTTATCCACTCATCTGTTGATGGATGTCTATGTAGACTGCTTCCTAGATCTAGCTATTGTGAATTGTGCTGCTGTGCGAGGTGTGCCGCACGCCCGTAATCCCAGCACAGAGGCTGGCGCAGGAGGATCAGCATGTGTTCGAGGCCAACCTGGGCCACATAGTTCAGGGCCAGCCTGGACTACATAATGAGACCCTGCCTCAAAAACCAAAAAAAAAAAAAAAAAAAAAGAAATTACACTGCTATCAACATAGGTAGAGTCCTAGAAGGGGAGTAGTTCAGTCAGTAGAATTTCTATTTTTGAAACTGATTTCCATACTGGTTGCACCAGTCTGCACTCCCACCAGCAGTGTAGAAGGGCTCCTTTTTCCCCACACCCTCCAGCACTTGTTACTTGATTGTTGTGGACATTTGTAACCAAGGCATTCAACCTCGCTTGTGTTCCTGTCCCCCAGGCACCTCAGATGTATCCATACCCCGTATCCAATTCAGTGCCTGGGCAGCAGGGCAAGTACCGGGGAGCGAAAGGTGAGCGGGGTCGGGAGGGGCCAGCGGTGCTGCCTGGCTCCCTGCAGGTGGAGCTTGAGCTCTGCACCGTCTGCCTGCCGTCCGCAGGCTCCCTCCCCCCTCAGCGTACTGACCAGCACCAGCCTGCCTCGGCTCCTCCCATGATGCAGGCCGCAGCTGCTGCTGGCCCACCCCTGGTGGCCGCCACACCGTACTCCTCCTACATCCCCTACAACCCGCAGCAGTTCCCAGGCCAGCCTGCCATGATGCAGCCGATGGCCCACTACCCCTCACAGGTGACGGGCGGGATGGGCGGGCCCTGCCAGGCGCTGGCATCCTGGGGGGTGGGGGTGGCAAGCTGCAGCATTGGTGTCAGACCAGACCTTAAAGCTTTTTAAAAAATTTTGTCCCATTCCCTCCTCAAGCCCCCTCCCCTCCCCTCCCTATTTGTTTCCATTTTTCCCTTCTGTTTTCACTTTTTTTCTGTCCTGCCCTCCTCCCTTCTTCCCCTTCCCATTTGAACACTTCCCATTTCCCAACATCTGTTGTGCATCTTAGTTCCTATCAGACCTTAAATCTTGGCTCTGGTGGGATTGGCCTGTAGCAAGGCGTTGAGTGCTGGCATCTCATTCCCCTCTGCTGTGTGCAGCAGCATCAGCTTGGCAGGGTTTCTGTGTGCACTGAGTGGCAGGCTGCCGTGCTGACTGCTTTGCTCTCTGCCCCCAGCCGGTGTTTGCCCCCATGCTGCAGAGCAACCCACGCATGCTGACGTCGGGTAGCCATCCCCAGGCCATTGTGTCGTCCTCTACTCCTCAGTATCCATCTGCAGAGCAGCCCACCCCTCAAGCCCTCTATGGTGAGCTGCCCTGGGTCCAGCCCTGCGCTGGTCTATGCTCCTCACCCCTCGTGCTGAGCGCGGTTCTCCCTCTTTCCTACTGCAGCCACTGTTCACCAGTCCTATCCACATCATGCCACGCCGCTCCACGCCCACCAGCCGCAGCCGGCCACCACGCCCACTGGGAGCCAGCCGCAGTCCCAGCATGCGGCCCCCAGTCCCGTCCAGGTGCCTGCCATGGGGCATGTGGCTGGGGCAGGGCTGGGTGCTGGAGAGACTGGCTGGTACTCACGGCTCCCCCTGCTGCTTCCTCAGCACCAGGCGGGGCAGGCCCCACACCTGGGCAGTGGGCAGCCCCAGCAGAACCTGTATCACCCAGGGGCCCTGACAGGCACGCCACCCTCTCTGCCGCCGGGACCTTCTGCCCAGTCCCCTCAGAGCAGCTTCCCCCAGCCAGCCGCTGTGTATGCCATCCATCCCCACCAGCAGCTGCCCCACAGCTTCACCAACATGGCCCACGTTACCCAGGTGAGTGCCTGAGGGACTGAGTCCCGAGTCTACGGAAACAGTGCCCGTGGGGCAGGCCCCTGGGAGTCCCTGGTCGCCCCTGCAGGAGTGTGCCCGGCTCGGCCTTCTAGGCGCCCGTGGCAGCCCGGGTGCTCCTGCCCGTCTTCTCTTCTCTGCAGGCCCATGTCCAAACTGGAATCACGGCAGCCCCGCCCCCTCACCCTGGGGCTCCCCACCCGCCCCAGGTGATGCTGCTGCACCCACCTCAGAGCCATGGGGGGCCCCCCCAAGGCGCGGTGCCCCAGAGTGGGGTGCCTGCACTCTCAGCTTCCACACCCTCACCCTACCCCTACATCGGACACCCCCAAGGTGAGCAGCCTGGCCAGGCGCCTGGATTTCCAGGAGGAGCCGATGACAGGATTCGTGAGTTCTCGTTAGCTGGGGGAATTTGGCATGGAAGAGCTGAGGGGCTGCAGGTGGGGCAGGATGCACGGGTTCTGGGCGGGGAGTGAGGGGTCTTGGAGGCAGGGCTGTCCCGCCGGGCGCCCGCCGACCTGCACCTGTCTGTGAAGTATGTAGGGTGGGCAGAAGCCACAGTCGCCGCCGCCAGGGGCTTGCTCCTGGCTCTGTCCTTTGCTTCCCTCCGTCCTCGCTCAGTTGTGATCCAGCAGCCCCCCTCCCCACTGCCTCCCCAGCTCTCAGTGACCCCGACTGTCTCCTGACTTAGCCGAGGTAAGGTCAGCGCAGCAGACAGGGCCAGGCTGGGGTGCGGGGGTTGTGCTGGGCACACGAGTGAGGGCTCTGGTGTACTGGGAAACGGCGATTGACCTGTGCTTCTGACAGCCCCATGAGACACCTCGAGGACCCGCTCCTTCCCACATAGCCCGCAACCCCCGGACGCATTGATGAAGGGACAGCTGCTTGGGTTCTAATGCTCCTGCTCTCTTCTCTTTCCCCTCCAACCAGTTCAATCTCATCCCTCCCAGCAGCTCCCCTTCCACCCCCCGGGGAACTGAAGATTGTCCTGGCCGCGACCTGAGACCTCCGTGAGCGGAGGGAAGAGTGACCTATGTCTCTTCCCCCGGCAGCTCGGACCAGTCCTGGCCCCACCCCGTCCCCGGGAGCTGGGGAATTCCTGCCAAGCACCTTGAATGGGGGCCTCGCAGTGGGCAGGGCCAGGGTCCAGCGGGGTGGGGGTTCCTGCTCTGCCCTGCCTGTTCCCACCCTGTCTTGCCCTCCCAGCCTCTCATCTGTTCCCCCACTGGAGACGGAAGATCTTTTATTTTCTATTATTTATAATCTCAGACTTGGGCCCCCTGTTCTTTCTTCCCATTAACTTGAGTGACCTTCGTGAGAGACAAGACAGATGCCCCACAAGGATGGTTGGACAAGGACTTTTACTTTTTATTACATAAAAATATTAAAAAAATAAAAAAATAAAATTTTAAACTAACTTAACCTCACTGTAGTTTTGCTCTGGAGGTGAGGACAAGGTCATAGTATTGTATGGTGCTAGGTTACGTTTATCTGTGCCCACCACAGAGAGGAAGTGTAGTCTGTTTCCCTGAGCCTAGGGTGGGGCAGAGCAGAGCAGGGCCTTCCTGGACCGCTTTGAAAACGATTCCAGATTTAATGCAGCTGTGAAGGTGGGAACTATGATGTTCTGGGAGACTGGTGGCTAAAAGCAAGCACCTGGCGAATTATGTCTACTTTTCACACCTTGTTTATGGGGTTATTTTTTATGTAATTTTCTAAAAATATTGTTATGTACCAATTGTAATTTTTAGTGCTTCTGATGACGGAAGTATTGACCCAGGGAGGCCTTACTGGTGGCACAACCGAGGGGTCTGTGGTGTGGGCAGGGCCTGTGAAGGTGAAGCTGCTAGTGGGTTGGAGAACCAGGTTTAGGGCAACCGAGGCCTGTGAGGTAGGGGTGTGGTGCACTCCTGTAGTCCCAGCCCTTGCGAGGCTGAGACAGGAGAACTGAGAACCGCTGGGGGTTCAAGGCCAGCCTGGGCTACACAGCAAGACCCTGTCTTAAAACAACTCACTGCAGTTGTAGGATGGGAAGATTGAAGCGTGGGATGTGTAAGTGGTAAAGCTTCGTAGGAGGTTCTTCCAGCCAGCCAGTTTGGAGCCTGTGACCTAACCTCCTCATCTGTAAAGTGGAAATTATCCCCCACTTCTGGGACTAGGAAGACGACCCTGGCGCTCTGTGGCATGCAGTGTTAAATCTGCTCAGACCGGGGCCGGAGAATTGAGGGCAGACTGACTCAGCAGGCTGTGGGCATGGTAGGGAAAAGACAGTTTATTGAAAGGGCCAAAGCTGGGGAACATGGATTAGGGCAGCGATGGGGAGGACCCAAGAGCCAGGCAGCTTCGCAGACGGATCTGTAGTTCAGGCTGGCCTTGGACTTGGGACCCTCCTGCTTCCACTGGGCTTGCAGGTGTCCCACCACACCCAGCTGGAATGCTGCCTTTCTTGTATGGGGTCAGTTTCTGAGCTAGTCATTCTAAGTTTAGGAAACTGCTGCATACTTAATACAGTACATGGTCTTTCTCAATTTCAAATCTCAGTAAATACTGACACTTTTTAAACCTAGGGCCTCCCTTCATACTAGGCTACATCTCCAGGCCTTTTGTTGAGATTAGGGCCTTGCTAAATTGCCTAGACTGGTTTTAACCTTGGGGTCCTCCTGCCTCAGCCTCTCCACAGTGCATGCTGGGGGGCCAGGGGTGTAGCTCAGTGGTGCCGCACCTGCCAAGCACAAGGTCATTTGCTACCCAGTACAAAAAAAAAAAATGCATGCTGGGCTTGTAAGGATGCACTACCACGCCCAACCGAAATGCCTTTTCAGGCCCTGGAGACCGAAGCCAGGGGCGCTCTACCAGTGAGCTACACCTCCAGCCCTGACCTCTTAAGGTAGCCTGTTTCTCAGGCTGGCCTTGAACTTGTGATCCCCCACTGTGGCCTGCAGATAGCTGGGGTTTCAGGTGCTTGCCGTGACTGCTTAACTCACCTTGACCTCTGCTGCTGCTACTGTTCTCAGACTGGTAGGTAACCACTAACCCACACAGTAACTACTGGACACAGGTCTCGGCTCCTGAGCGGAGCACAAGGTGCTAACCATTCTTCCTGCTGGTACTGGGGATGGAAGCCAGGGCCTTCACAGACCTGTACCCCAGTCCACTTCTGAGACAAGGTCTCCTTAAGTCACTAAGTTCCAGGCTGAGCTTCAACTTGGGATCCTCCTGCCTCCACTTCCTAGGACTGCTCCTGCTGTACCATTCTGCGAAGCAATCACAAAGCTCAGCAGATTGGATTCCTTTGAAGCTGTCATAGCAGTGAGAATGGTGGCCTTAAAGGGACTATCCAGTCTGGTCAGAGATAACCCTGACATTAGAGGAACTCAGTTAAAATGGCTGTAGGATCTAATGAGCTTCCTGTGTGTCCTGCACTTCAACATCTTTCTGTACCCGTCTTCACCAATGTGTATGAAGGACAGACACAGGCTGGCTCACTATTCACAGAACAGTTTATTGCCTCTCTTGCCCAGCAGGCCACCTCAACGAGCGGGCCTGTCCATGTAGCTGCCCTGTGCTGGAGGCAGCTTGTCCCCTCAGGGTGGGGGGCAAAGGCAGGAGAGAAGCCTGGCCAGGGCAGTCCTAAACTCAGGACAACCCGAGCAGATCCGGACTCAGCCCCACTTGAGGTTCTTGTCCTCCTTGGTCATGGCTAGTGTGTCAGTGACAAGGCCGGTGCCGATGGTCCGGTTGCCATCTCGCAGGGTGAAACGCTGGCCTTTCTCCAGGATCATTGGCTGTCGCAAGACGAGGCTGAGCTTCAGGTCCTCCCCGGGCATGGCAAGCTCCTGCAGTGGGAGAAGTGCACAGGCTGCAGGGTGCTGCTAGCATTCTGTGACACAAGTGCGACAGGGTCATCATGCCGTCTCAGGACAGCCTCGTCTGTCCGGACATCACGCACATGCAAACAACATCCAAAGAATGTTCAAAGAACATTCAAAGGTCCGTGTTTCTAGGTAAATTCTTGACAAAAAATGTTTTAGGACTCTTGGGTTATGCAGGTTCAATCACAGGGCTTCTTGAGAGCCTGAGTTTAGTAAACTCGACAAGAAGCATGTTTTTGAGAGGAGCCATTCTGTGCCTGCACCTAAGCTTTTAACCTGCTTCAGCCTGGGGGCGAGCAGGGAAGGCCTTCTTTTTTTTTTCATTTTTTTTGGCACCAGGGATCGAACTCAGATCCTTGCACTTGTGAGGCAGGTGCTAGAACCACTGAGCTAAATCCCCGGCCCGAGGGAAGGCCTTCGTGAGACTGGGCAGCCTCCTGGTCTCACCTGCAGCACCAGCAGCCAGGCTCTACCTGAGGAAGTGGCCCCTGGGCTGTCTCAGCACCTCGGGACTGTGTGCCAGGACTTGCTCCACCCCTGCACTTCCCTACACCCTCCTACCTTCCCCGGAGGCAAGATGACCCGACAGGCCATGTCCCAGGTGAGTGAGAACATGACCGGCATGAAGTGAGACACAAAGGGCTTGTGGCGGCCACCTTCCTCCTTGCTGAGGATGTAAACCTGTGGGGAGAGCGAGCAGGAGGAGCTAGGCCTGGCTGGACACCCTTCTCCTTTCAGAGAAGCCTGGCTCAGCCCTGCTCAACATCACTGCGGCTCTCACCTGCGCCTCCACCTTCTGGTGTGGCTGGAGGGAACCCGGCCTGACCATGACCAGGCCCCGCCTCAGGTCCTCCCGCTTCAAGCCTCGGACCAGGGCCCCGAGGTTGTCCCCCGCCTCTGCCCTCTCCAGGCTCTTGTGGAACATCTCGATGCCTGCGCGAGAAGCAAAAGGAGGCAGAGGGCTCAGGGCTCACTGGGCAAGGTCAGCTGGGAGCAGCCCCCGGTCTCCAGACCCTTCTTACCTGTCACCACGGTCCGGATGTTCTTGCTGTGTCCGAGGAACTCACACTCGTCTCCCTTCTTCAAAATGCCTTGCTCTAGTGTGCCTGTCACCACAGTGCCCCGGCCTGGGAGGAAACAGGACAGGACATCAAGGCCCCTGGGCTCGGCTGCAGCTGCAGGGAGGGTATGAATTGAGTCCTCACCGGGAACAGAGTAAACGGACTCTACAGGCAGCAGGAACGGCTTCTCCAGGTCCCGGGTGGGCACTGGGATATGAGTGTCCACAGCATCCAGCAGCTTCTGCACAGACTTCACACCCAGCTCGGGGTCACGCTGCTGTTGGGAGGAGGCAACAGGACACTAAGTTTCCCCAGGGATTGGCTGAAGGGCTACCTAAGCACAGTGCAAAGCTGGGAAGCCATCTAACCCCACCCCACAGCAGCAGCCCTGCCCTCACCTCAAGGGCACAGAGAGCAGAGCCTACGATGACAGGGGTCTCCTCCCCTTTGTAACCAAACTCGGTGAGCAGTTCCCGGATTTCCAGCTCCACCAGCTCCACCATCTCAGCGTCCTGGACAGCGTCGGCCTTGTTCACATACACCACCACGTGCTCTACCCCGATCTGTGGATGAGACAGAGGCAGTGTCCAGGGTCACCCGAGGCCCCACCCCTCTCTTCATCACCTCCCAGACTGAGTACCTGTTTGGCCAGTAGTAAGTGCTCTCGGGTCTGGGGCATGGGGCCATCATTGGCTGCTACCACCAGGATGCAGCCGTCCAACGGAGCAGTGCCTGTGATCATGTTCTAGGTAGGAGGAAGGAAGTTCAGTGCCTCAGCTCCATCTGGCCAAAGGTGGCAGTTAAAAACTAAGCCCCTTTCTCTGCCATCTCACCACCCACTTCTGGGTGGCCATGGCCACATCTCTCTCTCCCTCTTTTAGACAACGTCTCCCTGTATAGTTCAGGCTCGCCTCAAACTTGCAGCAATCCTCCTGCCCCGGCCTCCTAAATTCTGGTATTATAGGCATCTGCCACCACACCCAGCTACAAATCTTTAATTTTACATCCAAGCAGCTCAAATATCTTAACAGCACCATCATCCCATCCCCGCCCCGCCCCGCCCCGCCCCACCTGCCCTAGCATCAACCTCGACAGGAGACAGGTTCTGCCCGTCCTCGGCAACCCTCACCTTAACGTAATCTGCATGACCTGGGCAGTCTGTGTGGGCATAGTGGCGGGCAGGAGTGCTGTACTCCACGTGGGCCGCATTGATGGTGATGCCCCGCGCTCGCTCCTCGGGGGCATTGTCAATCTCCTCGTATTTCTTGAATTTAGCCCCACCTCCCTCGGCTAGAACTGAGGAAGGGAGAGAAGAGCCTTGCAACTCAAACTCAGCGCTGGAGGCAAGGCTCAGGCCACACCCCTGGTCCCTCCCCCCCAACAAGGCCGGGCCAGGATGAACCTCCCGAGACCCCTCATTATCTATTATCTCTTTCTGAAATGGCAACCCTGGGTCAGAAAAAAATGTCCCAAGGTCTTAAGGATCCGGGAGTGGCAGCACACACCATAATCCCTGCACTCAGGAAGGCTGAGCAGGAGGCTCGCCAGCTTGCGCCCAGCCTGGGGAACCTAGTGATTTAGCGAGACCCCGTCTCAAAACTAAAGGGGTACGGGCTCCGGCGGTTGCCCCCACAACTCTCCAGGGAAAGCCTCCGCTGAGCTTCCGCTTGGCTAGCGGGAGACTGCTCGGGTCCTCCAGCTCGCGCACAACTAAACCCTTCAGGCTCAGTCTGCGGCATCTTCCACACCACGCCCCCCACCTCCGCCTCGGGGCCACACCGAGCTCCTGCAGGGAGGCTGGGCGCTCCCGGGGCCCCCGAGCCCGCTCACTTTTCGTGATAGCCGCGGTCAGCGTGGTCTTGCCGTGGTCCACATGGCCGATGGTGCCCACGTTCACGTGAGGCCTGTCGCGCACGTATGTCTTCTTGGCCTCCACCGCCAGGCCACGGCACAAGACGGGCAACACCGGAGTCCTCAGCAGCCGCGACAGACCTTGCAATAACGGGATAGGGCCAGCACAGAAACCTGCCGGGACAAGGACCTGGGAGTCAGGCCGCGGCCGGAGCCGAGCTACCGCGACGCCCCAAGCCTCCGGACGACCCTTGCCCCCTCGCCCCTCACCGCCGAAGCGGGGGGTCGCGCGCAGCAGGGTGGCGCCCGCCATTGCTGTGGAGTCCGCCGCGGGTAGATTGCGGGCCACGGGAGCCCGCGCGTGCAGCCGAGGAACGGCACTTGCTGCTGGAGGTCACTTCCGGCGGAAGCGAAGGCCAGAGGGCAAGTCTGGGCGCCTCTAGCCGCCGGTTTCTCTGATCGTCTAGGGTCCTCCGGGTGAGGGGCGGGAGCTGAGCATGTCGGTGCCTCGCGGAAGGGGCCGGATGGAGAAAGTTTCCACAATTCCGGCCTCGCGGGCTTCCGGAGGCGCCAGCCGGGAAGTGTACAGCGTCCATGATGCGACAGCGCCCCGGAGGCTCACGGGCATTGTGGTTTCTGGGGCAGCGGGTTTTCGCGCGCTAGAGACGGGAGTTGCTCAGGCTCGGCGGGGTCGGAGGAGAGGTCCCCTCCTGGCCCGGAAGATCGGCGGCCGCCGTGCTGCGGCTGGAGGCAGGACCAGGTCCTAGATGCGTTGCGGGGTTGAGCGCCAATGCGACTTGTCTCTCCGCAACGCTTTTTATCTCTTATCTGTAAAATGGGAATAGTAGCATCCACTTTAAAAGGCGATCTTAGCCGATCGTGGTAGCTCTTGCCTGTAAACCCAGCACTCTGGGACGCTGAGACAGGAGAATTGAAATATTTTTTCCTTTTTTTTTGGTACCGGGGATTGAACTCGGGACCTTGCGCTTGTAAGGCAGGTGCGGCACCACTGAGCTAAATCCCCGGCCCGAATTGAAATTTTTTAATGGCTTAGCAAGACCACCTCAAAACTAAATGATCTGGGATGTAGCTCAGTGTGAAAGCCCTGGGTTCAATCCAATCCCAGTGTGAAGGGAGAAAGATCTTGAACGGGAGATGGAAGGGCCAGATCTTGGCGTCTGAGAGGGAATGAATTGGGCAGGAGTTAGGAGTGACGTCCTGGAGCTTCCGTTCTGCAACCCTCACATGTCCCCGCCCTCGTGTCTCAGCCTTCCAGGACGCCTTAGTGCTCAGCATCAGAGAGTCAAGAGTCCTCAAGACTGCAGATCCCATAGTCTCTCCTCAGCCCAAGGAGCACTTCCTTTGATGGTCCCCTCCCACACACGCAATTTTACAGATGGCACCAAAAGTGAGGGTCCAGGTTGGGAGCCTTAATTTAAGAGTGGCCCAGGTCACCTTTTACTAGCGGGGCACGGTGACACACACCTGTGATTCCAGCACTTGGGAAGCTGAGGCAGGAGAATGGCTGTGAGTTCCAGGCCTGCCTGGGCTACGTAGTGACTTCAAGGGTTCAAGGCCATCCTTAGCTACATAATGAGACACTGTCTCAAAAAAAAAAAAAAAATCCTGCTCTGACTCCAGCACCTGACACAGGATGGGACGTGCAGTGCCCGGTGTCTGTGGACTGTAGGAGGGAGAGCAAAAGGTAGGAAATGACCTTGATCCTTCCAGTCTGTTGTCTCATGATCACAGCTTCCAAGCCTCGCCCTGAGGAGATAATAGCAGCTGCTCCAACTCTGACTTACGTTTCTGAAACTCAAAGGAAGTCTCGACTGACTGCTTGTTTCAAATACTGTACTATTGTGCTTTTTTTTGAGGAGGGTGCTGGGGATTGAATCCAGGGCCTCACAAATACTAGGTGAGCACTCCCACTGAGCTACATCTCTGGCTCAGATACTGTGGATTGCCTAGCTCCTCCTCCGGAGATTATGACTCAGTGGTCTAGGCACAGGTAGAGACACTATATAGCACACGCGTCCCTCCTAAAGTTCAAAGGAGTTTGGGGAACTCTGAAGCAGACTTTTCACTTATCAGCCATTCACATTGCTTCACAGTCCATGCGCCCCATGCTAACCTGTGAGGTAGGGTCACAATTCACAGGAAAGAAAGCTGAGGAACACTGATTAAGGAACCCAACAGAGCTAAACCCTCAAAAGTATGCATCTAGCCACTGCATTTTTAAATTTTTTGTGCTGAGAATGGAACCCAGGGCCTCACAAATGCACTACCATTGAACTACCTGCCATCCCTCTGGCTACAATTTAATTCTCATTTTACTGCTTAGCTGAAACTCTCCCCTAGCCCTCCAGCCCATCCACTCTGATTAGGAAGGGCTGGTACTGTATAAAAGGGTTTTTTTATTTATTTGTTTTTACTCCGTACCTCATTTGCTCTGCTCCTAAGATACTATCCTGAGAATTTTTTTTTTAATGAAATAGCATTTTAATTCTTGTCCGTAAAACTATAAAGAGTATACATGATTTGGAAATGAGATTGTACACAACAATGGCCAAAGAATCATCCATTATTTCCTTTCCTTTTGTCTGGTCACTCAAAAAGTTGTTATCAACTATGGCTGTTGTTTGCTGCCTCACATTATTCTTATCCATGTATTCACCATTGCCTACTTTCCCTTCCAGGGAAATTCGACACCCCTTTTTCACATACTGATCAGCTACATCTCTAAGGCCTGGCCCAAACACTGATATTCGGTGCAGTGTTGTCTTTTGACTGACATTACCTGTTTGGTATGCTTCATTGTCCCTGATCACCACGTCTTACTTGTTGCTAGAGAAGATATGGTGACTGGAACTTTTCCTTCCACTTGTCTCATGACTGGGTCCTGATCCACTCGCCCAGGCTCCTGCACCTGATTCAGAGATCTTTCAAGAACCAAACTGCTGGCCACTTCAGACTCATGTCCCATGCTGACGAAGCACCTGTACCACAGGTCACTGAAAAAGCATGGCTCTTATTTCCTTTTTTCAAACTCAGAACCTTGCGCTTGTGAGGCAGGCACAGCACCACGGAGCTACATTCCTGGCCCCCTATTTTCTTTTACACAGTCTCATCTTTGGGCTCCTTCTGGTGCGCCAGCCGACACTACCTCCACCCAGGAGGTCACTTCTGGGGCACAGATGTTATTGAGCACCAGCAAGGGGTGAGTTTTTTTCAGTGATATTTGAACTAAGGGTTTCTGTGTCAGTGGTCCTGGATTTATTTTAGTATGTATTTTCTTAAAAAAAAAACTGGCACAGTAAACACCAAGTTTTAAAAATGAATCCAACACAATGATGATTTAAACTTTTGCCGTTTACCCAGCAAAGGGTTTCTTTGAAGGAATCATGTTAAGACTGAGATGCCAGTAGTCTTTAAAAAAAAAAAATGAATCTGAGTTTGGTGTGGTTGTACACACATGTGATCGCAGCACTCTGGAGGCTGAGGCAAGAGGACTGCAAATTTGAGGCCAGCCTGGGCAACATAGCCAGAACTTTTCTGAAAATAAAAAGGGTTGGGAAGGTGCCTCAGTGGTAGAGCAGCCCTGTAGGGAACAGGGGAAGGGCACGTTACCAGAACCTCTGCAGTGAGTCCTGGTCTCCTGTGAGCCTCGGCAGCACATGGCGAATTACAGGAAAGGTAGAAACACGAGACTGAGAAGAAGCTGAGGTTTGGGTCTGATCAGTGCTGCTCAGGGCAGCAAAGACAAAAGCCCCCAGCTTACCAAACCTTTTATTCAGTACTCAGTACATCGGGAGAAACAAAGTGTAACAAGTGACTTGCAGAGAGTTCAGTACATCCTGTGTAAATAAGACGTAACAATCCAAGAACAACACGGAACTGAGTAGATGTTTGTTCCTCCCAGGATGTTCTCAGCTCCCAGGATGTTTCTTGTCCTTGGAGAATCACAGACAGCATCACCGGATCATTGCGGTCTCAGCTGTGACCAGAGGCCAAAATGCAATTATGTCTTGGAATTCCATAGCTGGGTTGTAGGCAGGAGAACTAGGCTAACCAAATGATTTTTCCCTAGAATTATGTAGCATTGCTCCCAATACACCCCTAGGTTTAATCCCCAGCACCAGAAAAAGGAGGAGGAGGAGGAGGAGAATTTAAAGAACACTATTTGGTATTTAATATTATGGGTGGTATGAATTATGAATGTATGGCAAATTGGGGGGAAAATGGTACATGAATGACTGAAGTTTGAAAACATAGCACAAGGTCCTCAGTTCGATCCCCGGTACCAAAAAAAAAGAAAGTGACCTTTTCTTCCCCCAAGTCCCAAAGCCAGGCAGATTCAGAGCTTCACAGGGATGTGTCTCCTGGCAGGGCCTCTGGTCATGTGTTGGTGTTCTTGCATCAGAGTAGTGAGAGATGCATTCCTGAGTGATGTCGGGAATGCAGCTGGCAGCAGGGACCTTGCAGATGTAGAGACTTCGAAGTCTGTCCAGGCTCACCTGTGGCCATTGTCACAGAGAGTGGAATGCACACAAAGGTCCCATAGGTGGAGGTGGTGGAGGATGTTTGCCCTGGCCACCAGATGAAGTATTAATTGAGTAGATTCAGAGATGCGAGGCCAAAGGAGCCACTGTGAAGATGTTTCGGAGCAAAGTTACTTGAGGAAAGGGCTGGCTACTGTAGAAAATTCACATGTGCAGAAGGGAGGAGGTAGAGGGGTGGAGACAAAGGAAATCAAAACCAGTTGTGACACTAAGAGATTTTTCTCTTTCCAACATGGGGTTACAGTTAAAGAAAAACTTTTTTTTTCTGAGGCAGGGTCTCACTATGTATTGCAGGCTGGCCTTGAACTCACTATGTAGCCCAGGCTGTCCTCCAACTCCTGGCGATCCTCCTCCCTCAGCCTCTTACAGGCGTGTGCCTCCATGCCTGGCTGCCTCAGCTGGCCTTCTGGTCTCCATCCCCAGAAGTCTATTCTGCTGTGTCCCAGACACTTTGAGCCCCTAAAAATTATCTGTCCACCTCTCTGCAGTAGGGTACTGATTTTGTTCAGGGTGGCCCTCTTCCATCTCCGGGAAGAAATCCTAACAGGTCTTCTTGCCGGGAGCTTTGGGTAGGGCTTCGCGTGTGACTTCTTTGACGCTGATGGGAGATGAAAGATCTGCTGGGGGCCTTTCAGGGGAGAAAAGACGGAATCCCTCTCCCTGGATGTTGTGAGGCCTCGATAGAAACCTGGACCTGCTGTCCCTGTCTCGCTCCGCTCTGCTGCTGAGGCCAAATCCCAGAGGCAGGCGAAGCGAAGGGATCCTTGGGACAGTGGACACCTCGCAGCCTGATGTGAGGAATGTCCGTGCTGGTTCTTTGCGTGCAGCGCTCGGTACCGAGACGTAGCCCTTGCTTTTTGTTTGTTTGTTTGGTACCTGGGATTGAACTCGGGACCTTGCGTTTGTGAGGCAGGCGGTGGAACCACTGAGCTACATCCCCGGGCCCCTTGGTTTTTCTTGACTTGAAGC